AGTGAGCCCCCTGCAGCTGTCTTGCACCCTGCCCCAGCTCCACTCCCTTCCTCACTGTGGGGGGAAATCTCCATCTGCTCCCCCATGGCCCCTTCCCTCCCCCACAGACTTATCAGCTGGATGCTGCTCTGCAAGCTACTGGGTTGTGTTCCTGGACCTGTGCAAGCTGTGGCTGCATGCACGAACACAGCATTTATTGGCAACATTAAAAATTGGCCACATCAGCCAAAAAAAGCCGATTGCCAATAATGTCCATTTTCCTTTTATCAGTGCCAATACGATATGGACCAATCTACTGGTGCACCTCTAGTATTTTAATTGTGCACTGAATTAGATTTTCAATTAGTTTCTCTCAAGAGTTTGCAAGTATAAGACTGCTTGCTCAGCACAACATTCAGAATACAGAGCACTTTTTCCATGAAACAACCTTTTTCTTTAAAGAAGTCTCCACCAACTGGCTATTCCAAGACCCTGGTGTGTAAAAGCCTTGCTGAAGAGTGGTTTCATGAGTGAGATTAAGAGGCTGCTAAATAGCTTCCAGGTTTGTCAGTGGTTCCATTACACATTTAAAAGGGTGAAGTCACGTTTAATAAGTGCCTCCGTTTGATCCAGTTAAGTAGGATGGAATAAACTGAGACTTTGAAGAATGGATACTGGCAGACTGTAGAAACATCACTTCAATCACTGTCCATATATGGGGGAGGGGGAAGGGGGGGGGGAAAAATCTCACTTCAGACAATGGTAACATCACGAGCATTAGTGTGCGACATACTGCTTTAAAAGATCTTTGGTTAAAGCACTGCTTTGATCATGCTGTAAAAGCTGCACCCAGTTGCTGAATCTAAACAGCTTGCAATTTTCTCCCAAAACCAAAGAGCTTTTTCTCCAAAGATAAAGAGAGGATGAGGATGCTACCAGGGCTGAGATCATACTGGCTATCTTCATCTTCCCAATCCCCAAAGAAAGGAAATCAGGCTCTTCTAGGCACTCTTTAGTCATGTTGAGCTTCCATTTAAATGGACCACAACACTTAACTTCCACATCATTAAAATGAAGAAGGCGCATTATTGATTTAACTATGATTAACATTGAATTTGCAAGCCTGTTAGCATATTTCACAGACAGACTAAGCTTCATAATTAATGGATGAAGGGTCTACTTTCTGTAGAAAGTAATGCTCTGAATGATAAGATGTAACCTTTTCCCCACAAGCACCTTTTCATCAGCTGTTCCAAAGGCAATCAAAGCATCACACACCACCAGGCAGCAACTAACCTGACAGATCCAGTTCCTCAGTCAACATTAAGTTGGCTAGACTCCAAGCCTCACTGCGGGCCGCCAACACAAATTTGTGAGCACTGATGCGCTTGTCTCCAACTTTTATCTTCAGATCACTGATAAAAGAAAGAAAAAAAAAGTGTACAGCTGTAAAAATACAAGCCGTCTCTGTACCTAAGCATGTACAGACTCCAAATCTAGATGTTCATTACAGCTGCAACATTTCAGTATCCAAATTTAGGCCCAATTGTTTAAAACATGGATTGCCTCGATTAACACAAACTGGAAGTATTGCTCTCAACTGGTTAAAAAAATCCCCTAAAGGAACCCACTTACCAATGAGAAGAAATGAAAGTTAAAACACCATGTTAAAAGCCACAGGGCTTGAGCTTATTTTGTGTTTTTAATATTGCAGACCAGTGTGAATGATGGGCAGGGGGGAAGGAACAAGAACAGTCTCCCCTCTCCTCACCCTCCCCCGCCCCCTAAGATGTTCGGCACAGATTACATGCTTTGTTTTGTAGACAAGGCATTTGACAGCAGTCATCTGTACGACAGGAGACGCCACAGAAGATGGCTCTGCTGGGAAGGGGTTAATTTTAAGACCATTTTGGATCCCATATTGACCACTTTATACTTCCAGACAAAGAATGCTGTGAGTAACAAATTGATCCCTACCTTCATCAAGGTATCAATTCCCTAATAAGCTGTGAGCCTCATCAAGAGGACAATAGGAGGGGGAGTGCTCATACAAGAAAGATGTTCTGCTCTTGGACGCACCAAATGATTTTACCCTCATGCTATGCATTCTAGTCAAGCAGTTGTATTTCAAGAAACCTCCGCAAAAACAACTTTGCATCTTTACAAGAGCCCCCACCTTTTTTTTTCCTTCATTATTCGCATCATTACCCAGTTCCACTTGTTAAAGAGTTATGCCATTCTGGCTACAAAGCCAGGATTTCAACTGTACAAAAGATCTGTGGTCTTGGCAAATCAAGCCACAGTAATTTTTGTACAGTCTTGACAGCAGATAGAAGCTAGGCCTTCTGGTGTAAGCATATTCTTAAGATTGGCTATTCTGGAGTGTGGCTAAGGAAATACCTAATCAGGGATCAGAAGAGTCATTCTGTTAATTAATACAAAACAAGAGCTCTGAGCCAGGTAAAGTTAAGATTATTAATAGCAATCATCTGGTTTCAAAAATTGTATTTACCCTGTACACTAGGAAATTTGGTGCCATGATATATAGCGGTCATCTAGTTATAATGAGAACATATCAGGACTACAATCAGGCTTCCAGCACACTAGAAAATAGAATCTTTCTGGTCACTTCCTGTTAACAAAACAGGAAACCACAGACTTCCACTCTGACAGATGGGTTAAAGAGTACAGTTCTGAAGAGAAGTAACTAGCTTTTGAATCCTTGGTCTTAACTGAAGATGCTATACACTTTAGGTACTACTGCACCTGAGGAATTCAATCAAGTATTAGGTGTCCCTTCTCCCCTCTGCCCCCCTACCCTCAGGCACTGTAAACAAGTTTTATGATAGAGTTGATGAATAGAGAATACATGGTTGTATAGTACCCCTAGCTAGGAAGTATTTAAACAAGTGGCAGCAGAGATGTGGGGCAGAAAATTTTCCAGTGCTTTATTTTTCCATGGGAAATTTTCCATTTCTAAAAATTCATTGTTTCATAAAATTCATTAGGAACAATGAATGGATGCCAATACAATGTTAGGCAAGCTTTGCAGTTTCAAAAAGTTGTAATTAATGTTTTTCAGGTAATTATCCCTAGGAAGAGAGAGAGAGTAAATATATGTTTTATTGATTTGTAAATAGGAGGGTAAATATACTTGCATAATAATCCAAACCAAAAAGCAAGTTATGAAGTCACCTAATTGGCTGTGCAGGTCAAATCAAAACCAAAGCTAAAATTCTTATTTCATCTTGGACTGCAAGTGAAAGCAAAACCAAAACTAAGACTGTGATTAATGTTTGATTCACTTTTAGTTCAGCAAACAGAGCAGTGTCTCATTTCTTCTCTTGAGCTGGGGAAGTTGAAAGCGTTTGCATAAGATCTGTTGGTTTTCTAGTGCTTTTGGTTTGAAGTAGTCATAATAATGCTTAATCAGGATAAAACTAGCGTGCAGCATCATTATAGTGAAGTTCAAGCCACTGAAGGAAGGGAGAAAGTTGGCAGATGTAAATCCTGCAGGCAGGAGTATGCCAGCACAACAAGAACGAAGAAACATTTAACAACATGTAGAAACGGTCCTGAAAGAGTACAAGCCGTATACAGAAAGCCAATACAAAGTGGTGGAACAACATAATCTGAAAAAAGTCTATTTCTTTCCAAATAAATTCAAAGTTTTACGTGAATATAACATTTAGACCACGTTAAGTGTGCTGTATTTAAATTCCCCCCATTCAAATATTTCAGTTCAAATGCTTGTGGCTATTGGGACATAAAATTAAGGTAGGGGTACTTTTTTAGTTTTGTTTACTAAATATAAAAGTCAAATAAACATGCTAAAAATCAGATCATGCTCTATTTAGGGCATAGGAAAATTTTCCGATTCAAAATTTTCTGGGAAACCCACATCTGAGCAGCAGAGCCATTTACCAAATGGTCTCATTTCAATATTAAAGGTACTGCTAAGCAGCTTTAAGCAGACCTATTTTGGACAGCAATTACTTGCTCTCAGCTATTCATATGAAAGTAGGGCTCTACATCTTGTAGGCAGAGCACCTCACCAGTGATGGGACCCAATCCATTTCAAGGCTGCTAACGGCACAGCACTGACAGTCTGGTGGACTAGAACAGTGGTTCTCAGCCTTATTTTAAGCAAGGCACCCCTTGGAATACACCTACACTTAGTTTTCAATTTTTTCCTGTAGTAAAAAAAAAAAATAAAAACAACAACATAGAGCAATTCTTCAGTCGCAAAGAACTCAAAGCCCACAACAGGTCAGAACGTTTTTAACACTACAGATTCCTGTTTGAAGTCTCGGGGTTTATCTTGTGATTCATGTTTGCATGCCTAACTGTGCTAACATTGTGTGGCACTCAGCAGTATGCTTGAGTGGACCTCAAAGTACCCTAGCTGAGAATCACTGGGTTAGAAGGATTAGTTTCCCAGTTTTAGTTGGGAGACTAGCCTGCTCTAAGCAGCTTGGCCTGTAGTCTTCCCTCCATACTACTTTCGCACCCAAAATGCTTCTCTCACTTACCTATACTGCTCCTGCTCATACAGCTCTGCTACAATGGCAAGAAGGCGAGTGATGAAGGAGTCATCGGCACTCCCTCGGTTTGACTGGGCAGCCAACAGGTTATATTTCCTTTCTGTATCTGCCAATTTCTTCTGCAGCTTGACATACTCTTGGCGAAGAAGCTTCAAGTGTTTTTCCAACTTGGCCACCTCCTCTGCAAGGTAAATAAGAGTTTTGTTGAAGACTGAACCATGACCAAGGGTAAGTGTAGTAATCAAGTACCACCTCTGTTGTGAGCCAGCCCTCCCTCCCACATTTAATCCACTTCACATTTCAGCAAGTCTTTCCTCCAAAATCACTTGCCACCAAGTGCTGGTGAGGCCTTATTTGTAGCCAGCCAGTGAGACAGGCTTACTGGTTGTGTCCTGTCCCTTCGATCTTCTCTACACAGTTTTAGACCATTTAATCATAATCCTGACCTAGCTGAGCAGTCTAAACAGTGTTCCAAGGCCCAAGCCTTATACCACTTAAAAAAAAAAAAAAAAAAGTGTCCAAATTGTCTGACTGAGGGAAAGCCAAAAAAGAGACCGTCTTAATTTCTGGCAATCAATGCCCCATCATTGTTTGCAGGCTCAACACAGTAATGTGGTAGCGGGGCTGGTTGCACTACCACTCCCCATCCCCAAGCTACAAACAAATATTCATACTGAACTTCCAGAGCAACCAGGAAGTTGAACTGTACAGCATTTCTTAGGGTGCCAGACAGACACTTGTGCTCAGCAGGCACTGCACAAGAGGAATCACTAGAGGATGTAGAAATCCTACTCTGCCCTACCCAATAGAGAATGACTGCCCCAAGGTTCTCCACCTTCATCCCCTACTGTCCTAAATAAGTCTAATTTGGAACCCTGACCAACAAGTACCCGAAATGACTTGAACTCAAGTTCTGTTACCATCTCCTAGCCAGTCTAAGCAAGAGTGCCTACAACCCGAGAGCTTCTAGGTCAAGCCCAGGTTTGTTTTAATAGTTTCTCTCCCAAAGCATAATGCATCTAATTTCATATAGGGCAGGTACACTGGAAATGTCTGGGTATCTGACATTTCACAAAAGTGAAACACAGAACCTTATGCTGTAAAGACTAGGTAATAATGGGTATCCCATGTCTTCTCTAATTATACTTCAAGATACTGAAAATTAGTTTGTTCGGACAAGAACAAAGAGGTTTTTACTTTCCTACAACTCTTCCAAGTTGCTTTAGCAAGTAAGCCATTGGTGAGATGGTATCCCATGAGCGCCAGACTCAAGAAGAGTTTTGTTCTTACAGAAAAGGTAGCTCAGTCACGGTCTTGAATCAGCTACAAGAAGCCCACCTCTAATACTAGCATGGCTCACCCTTGAAAAAGTACACAATACAGCATCCAGATGAGTGCAGACATGCAGTATATGGCGCTGCAGATCCATCTTCTGGTTGACCCCAGAAGATCCCAGGGTCAAAAAAAAAGTTACAGGGAAAAAAAAAAAAAAAAAAAAAAAGCAGGGCAGCATCAGAAAGGAAAGCAGAGTCTGGCCAGCTGAAGCCACAAGCCAGCTGCAGGCCAGGCTCCCAGCTGCAGCAGTGCCATGACCACAGCTCCCCGAGACCCCCAGGGCAGGCTGCTGGGATCAACATAGTTGCTGGCCCCAGCCTTCTGTACCCTACCCAGGGTAACTTGCTGAACACCAGCACACATGGTACAGGCATTCCCCATGGACAAGTAGCAGTGACACAAGATGCACCACTGCTACTTGTCCCCAGGGAAACAAACAGCCATGCTCATCTGGACACAGACAATAGGTCTAGCTGTCCTTCACAATCAGCTCTAGATTACGGGTGGCCAACCCATAGTACATGTACTGCAAATGACACGGGTACTTAATATTTGACATGAGGCAGATTGGGAAGGGGCAGGTATTAAACTTGAGGCTTGCCTAACAAGAACTGTAGCCACCACTGCTATAGATGCTCTTAACTTTGAGTTTCAATATCTGCTCAGCCTTCTGGCTATGCTCCTTGGTTTCAATTATATAGAGCGGGGAAACGTACATAAGATGACTGGCTTTAAAAGAAAACAGCCCTACTATGATTTCACAGGAACGCCACTTTCCAGGAGTTACCCAGAAGAACCTGGGCATAAGTTGTATTTAGCTAAAAAACAACTATACCAGACACTTTTCCTTTTCCAAAAAGGAGCTCTCTGAGAAGCAACTATTCTCAAATTTTCAGTCCCTCAGGAGGTAATTGGACCTGGAGAAGCATAGCTTGCCTCAGGCAAGTAGGCACATTAAAATGGGAAACTGCAGAACTGCTTCTTTCTCAGTGGCACTGTAGGACCTAGGTCCATTTTACAGAGGACTAGGCCCTTCAGACTGCTTCCATCAAGCCCATCACTTCAATATTTCAGGGGAGGCAGGGAGGAAAAAAAACTGATCTCTGCCCTATAGTTCTCCCATGGGATTATACAGACAGCAGCTGACCCATGATGTTTTCATTAAGCTATGTAGCATTGATCCATTGGGACCATTTACTGATTAGTGTTTCGACATCTGAACCCAACATCTGTTATCTGTGCTGTACACAGTGTGACCAATCAATTTGGAAACAAAAAGCTTAGTCTATGCAGACAACCTGCGCATAACAGCCCAAAACACTGGCTTTGACCATGTTGAAGAAAAACCAAAGTAAGGCACTAATTGGCCTAACTTCATACTACACTGAAAAACTAATGTGCCACCCCAGAAAAAACACAAGCATGTGCCCTCCATTCAAAAAACCACAAAGCCAACTGCCAGCTCAACATTACAAGGTCTGGGACCCCACTATCCCACTGTCCAAACCCAGTTTATCCGGGAGTCACCCTTGATCGAACCCTCTCATACAAAGAACACTTCATGAAGACTAAAGCGAAGGTGAGTATATATAGCAGCATTTTATATAAGCTCGCCAACTTGAAATGGGGAGCTAGCCCCTCAGCCATGTGAACCACTGCTCCGGCTCAGCTTCTCCTCTGCCGAGTATGCATACCCTGTATGGAAGAGATCCATACATGCCAAGTTCCTTGACCCCGTTCTGAGTAATAGCTGCAAATGCATCACAGGGTTAGCTGAAGCCACCAACCTAAACAGCGTGTACCTGCTAGCTGACATTGCTCTGCCTGACATCAGAAGAGCAGTGGCCAGCAGGATAAAATGATCAAGAAACTGAAGAGGTGACACACTCACTGTATGACCATTGCACAGCACACAAACATCTGAAGTAACACAGGAACTTCCTCACCAACACCCAACCTCTTGATGTTATACCCAGGGAGACATGAGACTGCAGATGTGGAACAAGAGGCTGAAGAAAAATACCCGACAGCAAAAAAAAAGGACGTTTCAGCAGCTGAGTCCTTGCTACCAGGAGCTTATGATCCATGGCCAAGATGGCCATGTCTCAACCACCTACGTAACGGAGTTAGACACTCCAAGAAACTAATGAAGAAAGAGACTATACCATCAGTTCAATCACTTGCGACTCCGGCACAGAACCTCAGTCTATACAATGCCTGCTGCTTGAAGACACATGTACAATGAAAGACTTCAGAAAGTACAATAAATGAACACAAGTATGTGTAACAAAATGGTCAAATGTGGTGCAGAGACATGAAAAAAGCAGCAGCAGCATGGTGTGATCTAGTCCTCCAAGTGGTACCTGGTAAAAAAATATCTACATGCAACAACTTTATAAATTCCAAAGCACGCGGTAGGATTCCTAAGTTGTACATTTTTAGAATGCAGAAAACTTCAGTATTCAGAAGATTTAAGATGATCTTGTTAAAAGAACTAAATTTTGCCAGCTCATTTTAGTTGCCTCACTGCAAAAGCATTTGCACTGCTACAATCAATCAATTTGATTAGTCTACCGCAATCCAGACCAAGACAGAGAACTTCTCAAACACATGCCCCAGTCTGCATGCGATAGGCCTTTAAGAATCTATCTGTATTACACCTTACACCTGGAACATTTCTACCAGCTTGAATAGCTTTTTGAGGGTAAATGACACTTGAATAGTGTGCCTGGCCTATGAAAACAGCAAGATGTCATAATCAATGACGTACTTATTGGTACAAGAAATACAGCCATCAATAAAGACAAGGCATGTTTTGGAAATACCGCATGATCAGTGTTTGAATGGTCACTACAAGAAGTGATCAACAGAACAGTTTTATTTTCTTCTTACACACAAGCAAAGGAAATTTGTCAGTGTAGCCTTCTTGCAAGTTAGGGTCCTCAGGGCAAAGTATCCTTATCTAGTTTGCCTGCAGATATGATGTCTTAGTCTTTACCCTGAGATTATAACTATTGCTGTTTACTAGTCCCTTAAAGCAGACAATTGCCCTAATGGATTAGGGTTGTTTATTACACATTTCATGGTGCTTCTCAAAATTTAAAGAACAGGCTCACTGAAACCGAGTTCAGCAATGCTATGAGTACTACATTGAGACCAAGTATCCAGCTTGTAGCCATATTAGTCTAGAGGCAAAAGGAACAGCCTCTACCATGAGTTCTGACTATCTTTTATTAGACCAGCTAGATTTGGGGGGGGGGGGGGGGGGTTTTTTTTACAAGAAAGGTA